TTCCCATGTTGTTACGAAACTTCGGGCGACTTCAATATCAGGAAAATCCTGATTTATTTTATCTTATGGTCTTTAAATGTCAGTTTGCTATTGCTATGTACTCATATACCTTCGCGGATAGCTGTCGACGGTTTTCCTACCACAGCCCCTAACAACCGCCCTACCTCGTTAGAATTGCATTTCCGACCCTTCATTGCTTTCGAGTCGTCTAGGTGAATTCTACCTCTCCTAGAAGTTTTTTTTCTCTAGTTTTGAATCCCCCTGTATATATGTTTATCTCGGTATTTTCAAGCAGGCGGGTCGATTATAGGAAATCCTTTTGCATGCTTAAAACTTGATATAAATCACATTCAAATAAAAGCTATCAGACACTGAATATTTACTTTTTTCCCCATTCACCGCAAATTGCGTAGCATAGATTGAGAATAACACAGAATCCAGTACAAAATAATCAAACATCTTATTCGCAGAAGTCTGTGTTATGTCAGCTATAAGAGACAAAAGCTTTTTTAAGTTAATCTTCAATATTTCATAAAGTATGAAAATAGTATAAGCATACCTGAACTTAAGCTTTTAAAGCTAATGATTACCACGAGAAAAAATATTTGCAGAAGTTTTTCCAGGCCAGATTCACGATTATAAATTCTAATTCTTTCGCAGTATAAAATTTAGGCGATTGCAGAGAGCATCAGGATCTTGAGATATCTGGTAATTTCCATCAGGTGGATTTCCAACATGTTTAGAAAGTAGTTTTCTTCGATTGCTAAAAATATTCATAGATGATGTAATCCTGGGCTATCGAAGGAACACTCCAGATTCCCATAATCCCAATATCAGATGAAAATAAGTAGCTACTTATGGAAATATTGCTAAATTATTAATTTGACTGTTTGTTGAGGAAAATTTTTCATCCTTCTCAGGATAAATTCTAGGAGGTAATTTAAAAATAGTATAATTTTTTATACATGCTAGTTATTAAGAAAATAATCAATTCATAACAGTGGATAATTTATTATAAAATAGAACACTAAACTCATCTAAGACAGAATTTCACGGAAAATTCGGATTATTGTCAATGCATATCAATTACTTTTTAAATCCCCCATTCATTTCTTAATTACCACAAAAAGTACTTAAGAACTGAAGAAGCATGATGAAGAATTTTCAAATTCAAAATATTCCTATTTCCGGTGTATATGAAGGCTACTTCGTATTTACCGTTAAAGTAAGAATTGCATTTCCGACCCTTCTACTTCGTATTTACCGTTAAAGTAAAACCTGTGATTATGTGACCCTAATTAATATGTTTTCCGTATCCTTACACTCGGAAGAAAACAACTATACATGGATTACCATATCTTCCATTGTAGTTTTACAGATTTCATCACCTGAAAATCTAGAGGGAGGAATTATAAGTAGCATATACCATTTCAAAAAGAATGAGTTAAAGATAGAATTTGACAGATTGAAAAGCACACTTCTTAACGTTACGTATGCTATATTTCAAAGATATCATTTACAGTTATTGTTTTCAGTATTATTATTTTTTACTTTCCCGTTACGCGTTGCTGACCAGATCTACCTTACATTCTGCTGCCATAGATCAGAACTTTCTAAAGCATATCTTGAAAATTCCTGGAGAAAAAGATGCATATAAATGCAGCAATTTTTACTACTATTCCCTCTTCAAACTGAAATGTAACGTACAAAATTTTAAGTTACAAATCTAACTTTATTTGATATTATGTAATATAAATAAATATTAAGAAAGTGCACAAAGAGTAAACTGTGTGAAAAACAGTTCTATGAAATATTGTTTGCGCAACCTTTGATATACTAGAATGCAGTTGGTTAGGTAATGGAATGATGCTTTGTGTACTATTCCTGTTGGTATCGGCAGCTTTCGAAGGTCTGAATGATTGTAGATCTAGTTAAAATATACTTTATAAAAAATTAAAGTAGTTCTTTAATTTTTTATAAATTTTAGTGATTTTAGATATAGCTAGAACCCAAACACATGGCAGAGAAGAATTTTCAATAAATGCATTATGTTTCTACAACCTTTAGTACTATACCATGCACATTATTTTATTTCTGTTGCTTCACACTCGACTATAGCTTAATGCCAAGAAAGACTATAGAATAGAACATGGCCTACCTTTCTAAAAAGTTCGTACACTCTGGCCGTGGTAAGACTCGTAAAGTCTCCGGCCGTGATAAAACTCGTAAAGAACTCGTAAAGTCCAACCAGGAATGGAAGCTGCCTTCAGCGTTTTCTTGTCGACTCCGGGCATTTATCAATTTGAGGCAATACTTACCTCATAAGCTTGATGGAGATTTGAATTTCCCATAATTCATTCATTGTTCCTCTTAGCTGAAAATAATGCAATACAAGTCAAAAAGAACATTGCTAATCAACTAAGCAGACATAATATTTAATGCAGGTGAATGCTACAAATTATGTCCAAGGATTATTAAGAAAGTTCTATCTTCCATTCATCAGTTTTCTTTTATTAGGAGTGTAGCACCTTCCACTATCATTAAATACCACAACCTCTCAACATCTGTGGTCGTCCCAATCTCAATGTCCAAATGAGCTTCCTACACGATACTAAATATAAACTTAACGAAAAATTACCATTCTATGGTAGCGTTTGCCTTATAAGTATCTTGCAAATCTGAATTCGCAGTTTTGGGCGTAGCTTTTTCTCTCGAATTATTCGATGTTATAACTTCTCTGTCAGAAGAATGTAACAGTTTGAAATGACCAATTGCGAAATTTAATCATCTCTTTCCGACATTATAAGTAAATTTCTGTCACGTATCATATGTAATCCTATCAATACATATATGACCGGAGTATATATATATAAATTGTAGAAAGCTCGCCTAAAAGTTACCAAGAGCTGCTGCTCCAAAAGGTTTAAAACGTTTTCAAAAATTAATACACATGAAAAGCAAATCATTAGACATGTAAAACATAAATAAATTAAAAAACTGAAAAAAGTTAAAAAAGTAAGCGGAAAAGGTAAATTAGCCAAATTCGACTTCCAAACAGGCTTTTCAAGGGAAATTTCTTTATTTGAACGTCGAATCAAGCTAACCCCATTACGCGTTTCGCCGACGAACAGACAATTGAAACTTTTCGCTAAAAAAATTTTTTGACAAAGTGTCTTGGAATTTTAATAGTCCACTTCTCTGTTCATTGCTTTTCATGTGTATTAATTTTTGAAACGTTTTTAAACCTTTTGGAGCAGCAGGTCTGGTAACTTTTAGGCGAGCTTTCTACATTTTTATATTTACTGATTTGCAGCATATGCGCAAGATGTTTTCTAGACCAAAATTGGTTTTTCACAAATTGTTATTACTGCTTTGCTTGATAAATTATATATATATATATATATATATATAGTTATACAGAGGCTGTTCGCACATTTTTTAGATGATTTTGGTAAGCGGTAAAAAAAAAAAAAAAAACTCGTTTGCTGTAAAAGTAATTGCAATTGTTCTATGGTTTTTAAAGTCAAAATTATCGTCTGTGGCTTGAAAGTTTTTTTTTTTATTAAAAATGGCGAATTTAACAAAGCAGTGGTTCGAAGGCTACATTTACGCTCTTTCGAAGAGAAATATACCGTTATCCAAAAACGCTGTGAGAGTCATGTTTGATATCTAAAGCGTCGATAGGTAATATCATCAACAAGAAAGGAAAAAAGTCAATTGGAGCCTCAGTGGGACAAAAATTCCAAACAAGTATCCAGGGAAAAACGACACTTCGGCTATTGCAAAGAACGTTGTTTAAGTTAAAAGAAAATCCCTCTAGTCAAAGGACAGTTGCAAAATCATTAAAATGCTCGGTGTCCCCGTACAAAATGATAAACGTTGATTAAATCTTAAGAAAGCAAAAAACGCAAGTGCATCGTCTTCTTCCAAAGCATATCGCTCAACGCAGGACCGTGCAGAATTCTATATGAATAACGGACTCTGGAAAGCTGTTCGGGAGGAATGGGATAGATACCCTTCTGCCACTTCAAAGGCATTATCCTTGAATTGCGGTGTCGAAAAGATAGTTCCGAATAAGGGATGCAATAGAAACATTAAACACAGAATTTAGTAATTAGTTTTGTGAATACAATATACATCGTCTAAAAATGTGTGAACAGCCTCTGTATAACCACTGGTAGTTCAAACGTTGGTTTAATCCGGGAGAAGAGGCTCATTGCATGAACATGTTCGGAGATTTTACCATATGTAACATAATATGAGTCACTTTCTCTTAGAAAGTCCTTCAAGAAGTCACAGGTAGTTCTGGTATGTTTTACAAGTCATCAACTAAACAAGCGAACAACCCTCAAAGTATGTCATAACTAAATTATTTAAATGTTAGCCTAATTTCATTACATTGTATATTTTTGTTTATATAAAGTGTTTCTCCACGTTAACATAATTCTGAACTTACTTTCTTCGTAAATTTGGGATTTTTAAAGCCAAGAAAGAAAGTGGTTTCCGATTTCGATGTAATTTGAATTAGTTTTGGTTTTGGTTCGAACTTCTGGTTTCTATCTGATCGAATAATCGATGTATGTCTATTATTCTTTACATGCAAGATTCGAAAAGGAATATCATAAAGCAATATTAATAAAATTCTTGCCAGATTACAATTTTTCGCTTCCTCTATTATAACATTGTTTGGAAACGTGTTACTCTACAGTGATGATCTACTTTTAACGCAACGAACGAGAGGGAAAGTTGAGGAAAACACTTTTCGAAAGGGAAAAAAAATGTCTCTAACCCGGTAACATTTATCTTGCGATGAAAGAAACGTAAAGCGTCAAAGCGCATAAATTCGCACCTCTATGCTTAAAAAACTGTCTTCTGAACTATCATCTGACAACGGTTTCCCCTCCTCCCTTTTCAAGGAAAAAAAATCGTATTAAGAAAGAAAAACGACCTTCCGAATACTGGATAACGGCATAGGGCGCACATCATTGGCGATTGAAGGCGAAAACGCCGCAGACTGTGGCAACCCTTATCAAATAATCAAGGCTCATCTCTCTATATAAGAGATCGTATCCGTTGCCAGTCGCAAATACTGAGCACCTGAATTATCAAAGTATTCTAAAGGTTTCGGACGTATTTATTTTGCTAAATTATTTCTCAGCAAATATTTCGTAAACGTCAATTTTGCATAAATTCTATTCATCGTAAAAGCGATGCATAAAAATCAATACGTGAATGACTATTTAATCAGCTTATTGTCTTGGATAATGTCCCGTTTGTCAATGAATCATGATCAAATCCCACGCTGTCCCAGGGCGGAATTGGCTGGGAATCTCATCAGAAAGAAAATAATACCTGCTTCTTTCGAGTAAGTTATTTTCTATTTATTCGTATTTCTGAAAAATGAAAATGCAAATATTGAAAATAATATGAACTTAATCATCATTTGACTTTTAAAGAGGACTAGAATTTATTTAAAGATTACTTGAAGCAGTTTTTATTTGACATTCTATGTGAATTTTGTTTTTTAGTGAATTTTGTCATAGTAATTTTTAACACATATACTTTAAAACTCTCGTACTTTTAAATCATTGAACTCCAGATTTTGATATGAATTTTTATACTCATATGTTTTTTTGGCTTTATTAAAAAATTTAAAATTCTATTTGACTATTTAAAATTTTTTTTTCCGTTTAACTTGAAGGAAAAAAATTTTTCTTTCCATCGTGAAAGAAGAGATCTGCATTGTTCCATTGATTTCTTTGATTAATTTTTTTTCCGTTTACTTGAAGCTAAAATTTTTGCTTTTATCCTCGTGAAGAGAGAGATCTGCATTTGTTTCCATTGATTTACTTTGATTTAATTTTATTTTCCGTTAACTGAAGAATAAATTTTGCTTTTATCCTCTGAAAGAAGAGTCTGCATTTGTTTCCATGATTTTACTTGTTTAATTTATTTTCCGTTTAACTTGAAGGAATAAAATTTTGCTTTATCCTCGAAAGAAGAGAGAGCATTTGTTTCTTGATTTTACCTTGTTTCCCCTGCTTGCATTTGTTTCCTTGATTTACTTTTTATTTTTCCGTTTCTTGAAGGAATAAATTTTTGCTTTACCTCGTGAAAGAGAGAGATCGCATTTGTTTCCATGATTTACTTTGATTTTATTTTTCCGTTACTTGAAGGAATAAATTTTTGCTTTATCCTCGTGAAGAAGAGAGATCTGCATGGTTTCCATTGATTTTACTTTGATTTAATTTTATTTTTCGTTTAACTTGAAGGAAGTTTTGCTTTATCCTCGTGAAAGAAGAGAGATCTGCATTTGTTTCATTGATTTTACTTGATTTTTTCTTTTTCCGTTTAACTTGAGGAAAAAATTTTTGCTTTTATCCTCGTGAACGAAGAGCTCTGATTGTTTCCTTGATTTTACTTGATTTCTTTTATTTTTCCGTTTAACTTGAAGGAATAAAATTTTTGCTTTTATCCTCGTGAAAGAAGAGAGATCTGCATTTGTTTCCATTGATTTTACTTTGATTTAATTTTTATTTTTCCGTTTAACTTGAAGGAATAAAATTTTTGCTTTTATCCTCGTGAAAGAAGAGAGATCTGCATTTGTTTCCATTGATTTTACTTTGATTTAATTTTTATTTTTCCGTTTAACTTGAAGGAATAAAATTTTGCTTTTATCCTCGTGAAAGAAGAGAGATCTGCATTTGTTTCCATTGATTTTACTTTGATTTAATTTTTATTTTTCCGGTTAACTTGAAGGAATAAAATTTTTGCTTTTATCCTCGTGAAAGAAGAGAGATCTGCATTTGTTTCCATTGATTTTACTTTGATTTAATTTTTAATTGGTTTCTGGCAGTATGTTTCCGTTGAAATACATAGTTCTAGATAAAAGCAACACCATTACAAACCTGAGAGATGTATAGTTTTGAATTTCAAATTTGCATGATTTTTTATGTATTCTAATCAAATTTTATTTGTGAAGTTTATGAATGATACTTATAAAAATAAATCATTTAAGGAAGTTTTTAAGATCTCTTAATGTAAATGTTACATACATTTCTGAGTATGAGATGACAGGACTACCTTTAAAAGTTTTTTAACAATCCAAGAATGAGTTTATTCCTGCCTTTTTGTTGGGGTTTGGTAGTACAGTATTCAGCATTATAATACATACCTAGTGTCTGCTCAACAACTTTTTCAAACTCAAAATTTTCACTAATATTGACAAATTTGCAAGTTTTACAGCTATTTCTTCATTATGAAAATAGATGCTTTTTATAAAAAATTAATTATAGATTAATATGGTGGCAATTATTTTTAAAGAAGTTAAAAATTCAGAACCGTCCATTTTATTTTAAATGTTTGCTTCACAATATAAATATGATTAAGTGATAAAAGTTTGCTTTGCTTATTAAATTTTTGTTTCAAAAATACTAAATTACTTTTGAAACAAATATTATCAGATAAATTCTTAACTTTTTACACTTTGAATTTCGAATTTTCTTTATTATCTATTCCATATATTGTAAACCTTTAACGAATTTTTTATTAACAAACTCAACGATTTGAAAGCGAGCAATGGCAACACTGTCAGGGGAAAAAAACATTTTTATCTCCAGCGCGCGAGATTGTCTGTCGGAAGTTCTAATAATATGCTGTTTTTAAATATTTTGTGATAGTGCTGTTGAATTGAATTTTATGAGCGCGAAGAACATGATATTAAATAAATTAAAGGTAACACACAAAACATTAAAAAAAATGCTTATATGAGCGTAACGTAAAATCTGAAAGCTTTCAGATTTTTTTTCTTTTAATTGATTTAAATAATATTTTCCCCAGCATATGAGGGCCAGTTGCTTTTATAAAGTATTGGCATTGGCCTCTTTAAGCAAACAGTTTCCCGCGCTTTTCCATAATTGATTGAATAAGCTTCAGTCTTAAAATCTACATAGTGTATTCTTTTCCTATTTACGTTTACCTTCCTGTATACCAGGAACGTTGGCATTAATTTCCACTTCTAAAAATTACATAAATCGTCTACTTTAGGAAGATACTAACAGAAAAAATTATTATTAGAGCTTTCAATGTTTTCGAATTTTTTATATTTCGCGTTTATGTCTCCTTATATGTCCTCTGTCAAAAGCACTCCTTTTTAAATTTTCAAAAAGTCACGGAATTTTGTTTTCATTTAATTTCGGATCCCTTATTTTTAATTTCTAAAAACTGCAATGGAATCCGAATATTCAGAATAAAAAAAGTCCCACACTAGGAGCAGGAAGGGCATACGCTGTTTGTTTGGAATCATTCCAAATCTGACTTTGAATGCCAATGCCCAAGTACGGATTTTATTCTACAAAAACAAGCTATCTCGAATTCTTTATCTACGCAGCAATTGTTGTCATAGCTGAGCCATTATGTTCGCAAAAGAAATAAAATCTCTAAAATAGGATTCTTAAATCAAAAGCACGGGAAAACATTTTTCTTTTGACTTACTTCGCTTCTCGCTATTCCTAAGACGTTATTCACGACAACAAACACGACTACACGCATAGATTTTTTTTATGGAAATTAACAAGCTTTCTATTTTTCGATTGAAAATTTCTAAAAATACATTTTTTGTGAATATATTTTGATATTAAAAGGCAAAAGAGTTGCATACAATTCATACATATATGAATGATATGTTATTATATGAATGATAAACATACTTTTTAAAACAGCACCCTCGTTTATATGTACATATTCCTATAGAGAACTTTTTAAATATGTATATCCTTAGATTTGGCCGACCAGTCAAAGAAAAGAATTACATTATTCAACTGAGGTAGTCTTAAAAAGGTAAAATTTAAAAGTCGATGCAATATTTTTACTGAATACATATTCAGTAAAATTTTTTATATTATACACTTTTAAGATTTATTTTATTTTTATATTTAACATTTTAAGACGATATTATTATATTTTACTTCTTCAAGACCTGGCACACAATGGTTTGAAACACAAAAATATTTCTTTTGTGAGGGTGAGGGTGGAACAAAATTCTGCTAATCCCAGAATGGTGTCAGTCGCATTCTTTCCCCTTTTATGCTGTCATACTACTAACGTGACAAAATAATACGTGAAAAGGGCAAAAAAATAATCGACATAAATACATCAGTAAAGACGAAATTCTAATGAACAAACTTCTAACATGTGCATTGTATGGGTTTTCAGTCTGTTGAGTGCTTACTGACCAAACCATAAAAGACCCATCTCAAACACTCAAAACAACAAAGAGTAAAATCATAATATATAATATACCTATAACATGCACCCTCTGGAGCGTAAACTCTCCAGATCAAATAGTTAATCCCATTGAAAGCTATCCACTCATTACGCTTGTTTCACTAGTATAGCTGAACTCTTCCCCGGGCATATGCGTGACATAGCAGCCAGATGACATTCAATCACGTATCTTTTTCCTATTTGTTCAACTGATGAAAAGTGTACTACAATAAAAAATATTCCTAGTATACTATTCATATATTGAAAAACACTAAACTTAATATGCTATTATTAAGCTCAAATATGGTTTTAGCCAATTAACAAACAAAACGAACTAAACTATTGTTGTTCTGACTAATCTTGCTTGTTAGAGATCAGAACAAGCCCATGAAATTCATCGAGGCAAGGAGTAGAATATTACGCCTGTGTTTGGCAAGAACCATGGGCACCATATAGGTGACAGCACGATATTGCCCATTAATTAAATTGTGCTTACATTTTACCATAGTCTCAGGAAAAATGCAAGTGCAAATTTCATATCAAACAAAGCACGCGATATGTCATTCATAAATTTAGTGATGAAATAATAATTACAATTACCAGCTTGAATAAAGCAGGAAAGAAAAAGGTAAAAAAAAAATCTGAAAGTTTTCAGGTTTTATATTACGTTCCAAAGGTGGTTTTTTTTTTTTTTTTTTTTACATTTTGTGTGTTACCTTTATATATAATGTTCTTCGCACTTAAACCATAAAATTCAATTTAACAACAGTTAATCAATAAAATGCATGTTGAAACACGAGTAAAAATGGACAAAATTGGTGCACTGATAATCAGAATAACTGTTCAATTTCTCTTTCTCCTGCTATGAATAAATAGTTTTTAAAAATAGCATACTGTTCGATTTGTGATTGTTAAAATAAAGTTTGGAGTAAATTCAAGAATTTATAATTAAAAAAGCAATCGTTGGCATATTTTCGTCTCTTATCAGACATTTTGCGAATTTGCTTTTTCAGCTGTTACTACGTTTCTATTTGCTTCCATTGACGAACAAAAGTAATCGGCAGCTGTTTAAATGCTTTATGACGTCTCATACGACGAAGT